ATCTCCACGCACTAGTGTCATGCGGCTTTTCAATCCTCAAAGAGTGGATGACGTTCTTCGGCGCGAAATCTCACGACTACCGGCGCCAGCTCCGCGAGGAAGTGTCACTCCACGCCACAGGTGACCTTATTGTCAAGCTACTTGGGGAGGGTGTGGATGTACCCGTGCAGCCTCTCCCACAGTTGGGTGAACATGGGGCCCTCGTCTTTCCCAAGGAGGACGAAGTCCGCACCGACCTGGCGAGGCAGTCAGGCATGATCACCCGGACGGAGCTCGGGGGTTACGTCGTGAGTGCGGCTGTCATGTGTCTGGCACGTTCGCTTGGGATTTCAGAGGATCAACTGCTGAGTGGAGCGGCCCACGAGCTACAGGCACACGGGACGCCTCTGCTGGCGCGGCTCACGTCAAAGAACCACGTGGATCACGCTGCTTCGACGAGGACGCTCGGCATGACCATCCACCCGACGCCATGCCCGCTTCCGGTGGCATCGTTCGCCAACATGCATATCGATGGGGCGTCCACGTTTCATGGGGACCAGCCACCAACAGATAGCATGCCCATGAAGGAGGAGCCGGCTCACCCAACTTCTCCTCCGACACCGGCAGCACCGCCGAGCCTCTCGCGCAGTGCCAGGTATCGCACGCGTCTTGTGTCGAGGGCTGCAGCGCGGCCAGTGCGTCAGACCAGTATGCTTGCCGCATACAGCAATCGGCCTGCATCGAGTCGCTGGACGGGGGTTAGTTGGTGCGCACGGGGCTGAAAGTGGGGGGTGAAGATGGTGTGCGGACCTGGCACTGGTCAGCAGATCAGGCTGGGTGCGTATACGGTGGAGGACGATGCGGCGTATGCGTATGCCGCGGCAGCATACGTGATCAGGCGCAAAGACTACATCCCGCATACGAAGGAGCTGTCTGAAACGGAGAAGTCATTCCTGATAGGGTGTGTTCGCGACGACGTGCGGCATCTTGTCAAGGCACGGATGTGGTGGAGGTGGCGGCAGTGGAGGGCAGCAATGGCGGAGCTGGGCATTGTTCCTGGTACTCCCTTCCCCCTTGACGCTGCTGGCGCACGCTCGCCCGGCACCAGCAGTGGCGAGGACGACGAGGAAGACAGGATGTTACATGGGGCGGAGGCTGTGGACGAGGAGAGGACATAGACCTGGCCAGGGTTTCTGGAGTGCCATGGACATATGAGCTGTGCAGGGGGGGTGCGCATGAAGTGGCTGATTACACCATAGATGGCATTCACTATGTCTTTGGACGTGTATGAGCAGCTTAGTACTGCATATAGTGTGATTACGATGTGTGGCTAGAGGAAGTAACTGATTACCCCGTTGGGGTATTTTGATGAAGCCCGCTTCATGTATCGCTTCAAAGTAATGCAAGTTCTGGCATGACGAAAGAAGATATGGTATAGTGTTTCAAAGTTGACGAGTTGATGTGCGCGTGCAGAAATGTGGCAGATAAACCGAGCATACCCTGTAACGGGTACCGTGGATATCGTTGCGTTCTCGGTGTGCCATGTGTGCAAAACCCGTCCGAAATATGACGAGCCCAGTATGGCCGACAATGTAGTGCCACGTGGAAAGGATTGGCACATCTGTGCCATGTTGACGGGCGAGAGACGGAATGCGTAAGTAGGGAACATTGTGTCTGCTGGACTCATTCTTGCCCACACCTTGGCTCACGATGGACAGCTTCACAGTGTCATCCCGTGAGGGCAGGAGTCAGCGCGTGTCACAGCCACCTGCCTATCTGAGGAACTCTTACCTTCTGCCTGGCAATGTTAGGCGTCAGAAGACGAAGAAGCCTCGTCTGGAGATTCCGAAAAATGCCAACGAGCAGCAAGCCCGGGGCCCACCCTCGCCGCCACGTGAGTGGCTTTTCGTTTCGCGTTGCTCAAGTGTTTGGTTACTCGTATATGATTTGCGGCTAGCGGTGACATTTTTTCACGTTGTGTTCATTTGTGGTTTGCTCTCGTTATACTCTGCGTGTTGGCGTACCGCGTGTGATATGCAGCCATGACACCGTCCCATGGGACTCGCGTGGACTCGCGTATGTCGCATGGGAGCACTTCGGAGGGTAGTTCCTCCTCGGCCCAGTCCAGCAGGCAGGTTGACGAGACCGCTGCTTCCAGCGGGAAGGCGGGCCGCAGGCGCAAACGTCAGGTTCAAGACGTCATCGAAGGCTCTGAACGAGTGGATGGGGAACATGACGCACCTCCTGCGCCATCATCTGACGACGATCCAAATGAGGCTCTCCCCAGGCGTAACCCAGTGAACACTCACTACGAGGATGGTGCGGAAGCGGACAACAATGCCGAGGCCGACGCAGAAGAGGACGAGGCCGGCGCGGAACGTGCTCCGGATGACGCACCGGTCACGCGCGAGGAGCTGCATAGCATGAGGGAGCTCCATGAAGCCACGGCACGTGCGATTGCAAGGCTGGAGACCGCGTTCCTTGCAAAACCCAAGGATGACGTCAACAATAAGAAGAGGAGGAGGCAAAAGCGCGGCTCCGGCAAGGGAAAGCGCCGGAAGGCGCGGCGGTCGAGCTCCACGTCCGAGACGGCGTCCGATGAGGAGGGGGGCTTCGACGACGAGGACGAGGGCCACCTTCGACACTCAACATCTGCCATTATGCAGGAGGCGCTCGACCTCCTCCCGACCGACAAAGGCTGGAAGGTAAGCATAGAGTGTTGTCACGTCGCAGTCTGGTTTGGGAGATGAGGCTGTACACATGGTGGATCATGTCTGGTGATTGATGGTGTAATGCGTGGTCTGTCATTGCAGGAAATATGTGAGCAGGCTCGTACCGAGCTGTTCATTCGGCGCTCCAACTCGCAGTTGACGTTCTACCCCAGCAGCGCAGCCAAGACATGGGCCATTTGCGCAGTCGTGGATAACCTGACTGAGAGCTATGCAAGCGTTGCTCTCGCGGCGTGCAAGGCACGTCGGATCGACCTGAACAGGTCGTTCAGCGACTGGAAGACTGGTGCGGCAGGGAGAGTCCGCGACATCTCGCTGCCTAGGATTGGACTGTTCCGCCACGACCGAGACATGAAGAGTCCCTGGGCGACACGGGCGAGGCACACCCTGTCCCGAATCCGAGATAGGGTCGGCCTTGGAGACGTGCCGGCGGGTAAGAACGTGCTGCAGCAACAAGGGCGGACGAGAGTGCATTGCATATGCATGGATCGCCGTTATTAAATGTGCACTTTGTGTGAGCATATTGTGGCAGGTAAGCTGGCACTGTCTCGTTGGAGTTGCGACCGTGACGGGGTGCCGTTCGCGTCCGGGGCGTTTACAGCATGCGCGCGGGCGGCGTTCAAGCCAAGGATGGTGAACGGGACTGTGACACTGAAGCTTTACCACGTGGCATGGCTGGAGCACGTGGTAAGCCGGCACCGTGCAGCTTTACAGAGATTGAAATACCAGGGAGAGTGGCCTCATGCGCGCCTGTATGTGGTTTGCCGTGCGCAGGTGACAGATGCAGTCAAGCACTGGGAGGCTCGCCAGGGTCGCTTCTACAACTCCGCAAGCACCAACGCGCAGATCGTGGACGGCCTCCACGTCCTCGTACAGGCTGCGGTTAGGGGGGCCATCGCGGATTTCCGGCCCGCCTATGACGAGGCGTCCCAGAGCTGGGCGTGGGGCCGCCATGGTCTGCGCATCTCGGCGGACGGCATCGCGGCTGCCAACGCAGTGACCGCGGAGGCAAGCGTCAGCCGCGGGTCTCAGTAGGCATAATCGGAGAAACACCGGGAGGCGATGTCTGGCATCGTGAGCTGGTGCATAGAATTGTAGTACCACAATATGTCTAATGCGTATGAAGGTGGCGTTGTATGGGAAAGGTGGTGGGCCGTGTGAGGATGCTCTGATAGAGGGATGTGGTACGGCATCAGCCGCGTGTAACTGCGATTTATGGCAATTGCGTTCAACACTGAAGGACGGAAAAAATAAGTGCAATTAATCACATGACGTCGTGAGCAAGGGGGAAACATAACCAGTCAACCATTCACCTGAATGTAAAATAAAACAGACAATTACGGCCATTGGCGTAGGGTCACAAACGCAGAATGCGGTTCGGATGTGTGCCGTTCGATGCGGTTAGGATGGGACCGCGATTCGGTTTGAGACGGTCCAACCAACCTTATCGTGGGGCTGCGCGTGGCGAGCCCTATGCCCACTGGAGCCGTAGATGCAAGTGCATCGACAGCCAGGTGTGCCGTTGGATGATGGTCTGGTGGACGGTCGAGGGCAGGACAAGTGGGCCAGCATCAGTAGCTCCACACTACGTGATCAACGGCCACGTGGGAGTATACCAACGGACGGGAATAATTACACGTTGACACAGGTGGGATCCGGCTCGCGATGCCGAATGCGAGGCATCGTCAATGCGTGGGTACGTGGACGGTCGGATACACATCGTGATTACATGTGCAGCAATCATGAGCATGGTAACAGCCGTACACGTTGCCATAAGTCAACGGCATCCGCCGTGTACACGTAGTCTGGTGGCGACGTGCTGTATTGAGAGTCGACCAATGGGTAACAGGTACTATCATAATATGGCGCATGTGTATTGGTTACAGAGAATGACAACGAAGGGTGTGGATGCGATTCCGGGTTGATCGTGGTCGTCCACGTGAATGCAGTTGGTTGGATAAGACTGTGGCACGAGGCGCGGTCTACTGTACAGTGTTGTAACTTACTGTATGTCGTGATGACGTCATGGTCGCCACGTGTATGGACGTTATAAGATTGTGTCTAAATGTGGCATTTGTTATTCGCCCGGCAGAGGCCACCCCAGTGTGACATGTGCGTGACTTCCGCGTGACTATGCCGTGACGGTTATCGTGACGCGACAGAAGCTTTTCCGTGACATTTCCGTGACATTCCCGTCACGTTGGAAGTGACATAGGGATTGGTACTTCCAACCATCACATTTTTACCCCCAAAAATCGTATACGGAAATGTGACGAAAAAGTCACATTTCCGTCACTTCTGGCCCTTGCCTTTTCCGCGATGAGGGAATGAAGGAAGAGAAGGGAGATAAGGGAGGGGCGGGAGGGATGGCAGGGACGGGAGGGATGGAAGCGAAGGGAGAGGCAGGAGCGACGGGAGAGGCGGGACCGACCGTCCACCCCGTCCCTCCCTTTCCTCCCGTGACGGGAGTGAAGGGAATGAAGGGAGAGAAGGGAGATAAGGGAGGGGCGGGAGGGATGGCAGGGACGGGAGGGACGGAAGCGAAGGGAGAGGCAGGAGCGACGGGAGAGGCGGGAGCGACGGGAGTGAAAGGAATGAAGGGAGCGAAGGGGATGAAGGGAGGGAAGGGAGATAAAGGAGAGACGGTAGAGACGGGAGGGACGGGAGGGATGGGCGGGACGGAAGCGAAGGGAGAGGCGGGAGCGACCGTCCCTTCCGTCCCTCCCGTGACGGGAGTGAAGGGAATGAAGGGAGGGAAAGGAGATAAGGGAGCGACGGGAGGGACGGGAGGGACGGGAGCGAAGGGAGAGGCAAGAGCGACGGGAGAGGCAGGAGCAACGGGAGAAGCGGGAGCGACCGTCCCTCCCGTCCCACCCGTCCCTCCCGTGACGGGAGTGAAGGGAATGAAGGGAGCGAAAGGAGATAAGGGAGAGACGGGAGGGACGAAAGGTACGGGAACGAAGGGAGAGGCAGGAGCGACGGGAGAGGCACGAGCAACGGGAGAGGCGGGAGCGATCGTCCCACCCGTCCCTCCCGCGACGGGAGTGAAGGGAAGGAAAGGAGATAAGGGAGAGACAGGAGGGACAGAAGCGAAGGGAGAGGCAGGAGCAACGGGAGAGGCAGGAGGGACCGTCCCTCCCGTCCCACCCATCCCTCCCGTGACGGGAGCAAAGGGAATGAAGGGAAGGAAACGAGATAAGGGAGAGACGGGAGGGACGGAAACGAAGGGAGAGGCAGGAGCAACGGGAGAGGCGGGAGCGACCGTCCCTCCCGTCCCACCCGTGACGGAAGCGAAGGGAAGGAAAGGAGATAAGGGAGAGACGGGAGGGACGGAAGCGAAGGGAGAGGCGGGAGCAACGGGAGAGGCAGGAGCGACGGGAGTGAAGGGTCTGAAGGGAGGGAAGGGAATGAAGGGTGCGAAGCAGTAAGGAGGGTAGAGTGCTTTACGGAGGGGCAGAGGAGTGTGGAGGGGAGCAGGAAGGGCCTGGCTAGGACGAGGGCGGATATGGCAGGAAGCGGCGCTAACATGGCGGGCGCCTAGTGGCAAGGATGGGAAACCAGATAGTGTCAGACACCCATTGGCGGGTTTCTGTAATTCTGTTTTTCTTGTGAGCTTTTGTTTGTCTTCACAGATTAATAGAGGGTCCTCCTATCCAGTGTTGTAAAGAAAATTTGTACTGCATAATTTTCCCTAGCGCTCTGACTCTCTCTGCCTGGTTTGGGCGGGGTGTTGGGTTACTCTATAGCTCCTTCTAGGCCTACCGGTATTGCACTCTACTCCATGAACAGTTCTATGCAGTGTTGCAATGTAGGATTCCGCCAAAGGGGTTGTATGTTCAAGAGCTCCATACATTCAACAATGTACTGACTAATATAAGGTGCCATACAGCTAGACTACACTGGATGAGGATGAGGATGAGGATGAGGATGCGAGGAGAGGCAATAGAAAAGGAGCGAGGGTGAGAAAGCTCGTATCCAAAGAGCATGACAGCACGTCAGGACCCGGGAGGCTGGACAGGACCTGACAAACATTGAGGCCCAGCAGGTATATCACGATTCACAGCTACTCTGTCAACCTGTCTGTCAGTCACAACATGCGACATACAAAATTCCTTTCACATGGCTGTTTGGCATGGCTGTAGCTCTAGTCCTGCCTGAAGGTGCGCCAATACCCATGCACTGGTATCATCTCTCGCGGTTTGTACATGTGCAGTGCAGCTAAGAATTGCCCAAGAAGCGAAGGGGGAGAGAGGTGGGCATGGGAGGTAGCTATGGGTCTAACTGCAAGCAACTATCAATAGTGTTGATACCGTTCCAAGATTCAAGTGTCTTGGCCCCATGGTTGAGAACATGTTGGCAAGGCTTTATTGCTGGAGGGCTCACTGCTGACCCAGCACTTGGGCGAGCTTGGCGACAGCGTCTTTGCGTGCACTAGCTGGGAGTTGTAGCACAGAAACCAGAGAGAGAATACTCGTGGAGAGAGAGGGAAAAAAAAAAAAAAAAGTGAACAGAAAAGAAAAAGGAGGACAATTGTGAAAAGGCTAATCAACAAGGTAGCGAGCCGCATGGACCATGCTGGACACGTCCTGCACCAGCAGCATGTATCCCCATGCACTCCCTCCCACTTGCACCCCCATGCACTCCCATGAACTCCTTCCCACATGCATTCCCATGCTGCAAAGCGATCCCACGTACCGCCTGCGGCACGCTCGACACAGCCTGCGCCAGCAGGATGCACTTCCCATGCATTTCCATGTATCCCCATGCCACCACTGTTATAGTCACAATAGGCTTGAATGTGCCTAAAACGAAAGATAGAGAGCACAGACGGATTTCTGCACAGCGGCTTCAAACGTTGATAGCGTTCTGCTCACAGCTGCAAATGACTTGATTCAAATTGGATCTGGAGCGTCTTCACGTCGTCTACAATTAGCAATTTAGATTGCACGATTTGATAAAGAATTGACGACACAGCGTCGGTTTGAACGAACGGTACTATGGCAGCCACTATAGTCTTAGAACACAAGATAGGAAGAGTTACGAGTTGGGAATGACTCCCAGCTCCTACAAACCCCAAGAGCCGAGGTACAGTGATGTGGAACAGTGCCACACTGTCCCCAACCACGAAGGGTCTCGAAACTACCCTTCACTAGGGCCTACACCAAGTGAAATGTTACACTACACAAAGTAATGTAACTATCTTCAATATCTTGAGGTGTACCCTTTTGGCAAGCTTCGAAATCACTTGAGGCTTGACACCAAGGCTCGGGCTCTTCATCACAAACTCATCCTTGAGTTCTTGATGGGTCTGCTGCACACACCTGCGACACGCCGAACGTTCGACACAGGACAAAATAGAAACCGCGCACGACAAAATAGAAACCGCGCGCGAGACACAAACGACCGCGTAACACGCGTCTAGCGATAACTCGCTATTGACTCGACACACACACTCGACATCATGACTCGACATTCACACACAATTATAAGCATGAAATATATATTATCCCATGCCCTCATACCATTCCATACACACACACATTCACGCACACGGACAACAAGCCGAGTGCAAACCGTAGGGTTGCACCAACAAACTCCCCCTCGGATTGTTGGCCTTAGGATATGTTGCTCTCTCAGTTCAGAGCCATCCCAGCCAGCTTGCAACACTTCCAATGCTGCTGCTCCACCAGCCTCTTGGTCATCATGTCAGCCGGCTGCCCCGTGGTCTTCACGTAGCGCAACTCAACTTCACCCGCGGTTACCATGCTCCTCGTCCAATGCCACTTCACCCTCATGTGCTTCGTGAGTCCATGCAACACAGGGTTCTTAGCAAGAGCAATGGCACCCTGGCTGTCACAGTACAGTGGGGTAGGTCCTTGCTGCTCCTCCCCCAATTCAGCCAACAAACGCCGCTGCCACACAATCTCCCGTACGGCACGGAAGAGTGCCATGTACTCGGACTCCACCGAGCTCAAAGCTTGGTCAACCTGCTTCTTGCTCTCCCAAGCAGTTGGGCCTCCACCAACACAGCATATGAAGCCTCCCACACTTGTCATGTCCTCTGGTTCTGATGCATATGAAGCATCCGAGTAGGCGGTGAGGAACAAACGCCCGGGTTCAACACCATCCGCGCCCTTTTGGCGCCTTTGTGCCGCCGCCGAGTATTGCAGCCCAACGGTCGGTGTTTGGCCAAGATACTTGGCCACCCTCATTCCAGCTGCTACCTGCTCTTCATTAGGGCATTGCACAACCCTAGCCAGCTGCCCGGTAGCAAACGCGACGTCCGGTCGGGTGTTTACCGCCGCATACATGAGGCTGCCCACCAACGAGTGAAATCGGCGCCTCTCCTCTTCACCAACGCTCTCCTCCTCTGGTCCCTTCACACACTTGAACCCAGAGGGAAAGGGTGTAGCCACATGGCCTTCACTCTGCCCAAAGTTGGCAGCCAATGCCTCCAGGTACTTTCGTTGATGCACCCGCATGCACCGCTTCTCCACATCTTGTTCGATGTGGAGCCCAAGGTAGAAGCTCACGTCACCAAGGGCCTTGCACTTGAACTTGTCTTGAAGCTTCAGCATCACCTCCTTCACAAGGTCAGAAGAGGGTGAGAAAATGAGGATGTCATCCACATAAACCACCATGAAACTCCTCTGCTCCCCCTCGCCAAGCATGAACAAGGAGTGATCGGCCGTTGAGGGAGTGAAGCCGATCCCCTCCAACACTTCGCGCAGCTTCATGTACCATTGCCTAGGGGCCTGCTTCAGCCCATAGAGGGCCTTCTTCAGCTTCCACACTCTGCCACTACCATCATCAAACCCCTCTGGCTGCGCCATAAAAATCTCCTCCTCAAGGATGCCGTTAAGGAATGCCGTTACGATGTCCATTTGCTTTACTACCCATCCTTTGATGGCGGCTCCCGCGAATAGGGTTCGCAGCGTCGTCGGCTTCACCACAGGGGCAAACAGCTCCTTGAAGTCCACCTTCTCCTTCTGCTGGTACCCCTTGGCTACAAGCCTAGACTTGTAGCGCTCGATCTTGCCGTCGGCATCCGACTTGATTTTGAAGAGCCACTTGGACGTTATCGCCGTACGCCCCTCCGGTAGCTCCACCAATTCAAACGTGTCATTCTCCTCGATGCTCTTCAGCTCACTCTCCATGGCCTTCTTCCACTCCTCAGCATCACTACTCTCCAAAGCCTCCTTGAGAGTTGCTGGTTCTCCCGGCATCTCCACCGGAGAGAAGAACGCGAAGGCACACTCCTCGTAGTCACTCTCCTCGTCGTCTCCGACCATCATTGCCGCTCCGGCCAGGGCTGTCTTGCCCTGCTTTCCCGGCGCATCATAGGTCAGCCTATTAGGGGGTTGAACTCTCCTCTTCCCCCTTCCTTCCTCCTCAGCTGCAGGGACTTGAAGGCCTTGGCGTTGCTGCGGTGTGGCTCGAATCCGTGGAGCACTCGTAGTACGGGAAGGGAGTGACGGTGCACGCTCGCTCACTTGCTGCACCTCCTCCTCTTCTTCCTCTGCATCATTGGCCTCCTCTCCCCCATTCACAAGGGAGGATTGCCTTGTGGTTGTGCTGCCGCTGCTCAGCTCCAAAGGCAGCTCCACATGCTCCAAACCGGAACTCTTCACCTCCCCAAACCGCACGCCTATCTTCGCCTCATTCTCCGCCTTCCAATCCTTGTACATGAAGTTCTCCATGAACTTGCAGTCCCTGCTCACCAAGAACTTCTTGGTGAATGGGTCCCAAAGAAGCCATCCCTTGCTGTTTTGAGCCATGCCCAAGTGCACGGCCCACACCGCCTTGGCACCAAGCTTGTTGTGCCGAAGATGCTTAGGCACGAGCGCCATGCACATGCACCCGAACACCCGAAGCATATCCACCTTTGGCTTCCTTCCTAGCCACTCCACATAGGGCACCCATTTGTCTGCTCCCACATGAGTCAAGGCTCTGTTCTTGGCCACACACGCGCTCCGCACCGCATCAGGCCAGAAATAGTCGGGTAGCCCGGCTTCAATGAGCAACCCGCGTGCCGCCTCCGTGATTGTGCGGTTCGCTCGCTCGGCGATGCCGTTCATTGCAGGGGAGTATGGCATGGTGAGGGAGTGCCGAATACCATTCTTCTTCAGCCACAACCCAAACTCCTTGCTCAGGAACTCTCCCCCTCGATCGGTGCGGATTGACTTGACTAGACGGTCTTGTTGCCGCTCCACCATCGGGAACCAATCCGTCTTCAACGTTTCAGCCACGTCGCTCTTCTTGGCCAGCACGTACACCCAAGTCATGCGGGTGTAGACGTCGACAATGGTGAGAAAATACTCAGCTCCAGCAGCTCCAAGCTTCAGGGGGCCCACCACGTCCATCACCACCTCATCAAGCGGTGCCTTTGCCGTTGCCTCCGAACTAGGGAACGGAAACCGGGTGAACTTGGCTTGAATGCACGTCGGGCAGCCAAGCACCTCATCGGGCTCCCCCTTCACACGTATGCCAGCAACCATCTCATTCTTCACTAGCTGCTGCAAGATGGGCAGGGCCACATGCCCCATGCGCCGATGCAAGGTGAGCCAATCACACTCCCCCGTAGCCGAAGTTGGATTGGAGAATGCCGCGCTCGCAATAGCGCCCCACATACTCTCTCCGTAGTCCTCCTCCGCTGCTGCCTCTGGGTTCTCCTCACCCTTTTGCTGCTCCTTGGTTGCTGCACCACTCTCCTTAGGTTCACTGAACTTGCTGGTCCCTCCAGGTTTGCTCTTCTTGAGCTCATTCTCCTTAGCGCGACCGTTCGCGCCATCGTCGCTACCGACCGCTCCATCCTTGGTGCTGATGCTTGCTGCCACTTGCCTCTCCTTAGGCATAGGGACCACTGGGATCTGCCACATCTCGTTGTAGACATCCCTGTCCTCATGAAGGTCCCAAAGAATTCGATCGCCAAGCCTTGCGGTGTAGGTCTTGGCTCCCTTCGAGTTCGTGTCCATGCCGGCCTTTGCCAACCGCCGCACGGAAATCAGGTTTGCAGCAAGGCTGGGCACCCAAAGCACGTTCTTGAGGCCCACCATCTTCCCATCAGCACCCTTGAACATGGCCTTGCCCATGCCTTTCACCTCTGCTCGCTGCCCCAAAGCCGATGTGACATGCTTCACCGGTGACGGCTCGAGTTCGGTGAGCAAGTCCGGGCGAGGTGTCATGCTATAGGTAGCGCCACTATCAATCACCCAATAGTCCAGGGGATGTAGGGTCACCTTCCCCACAGCTGCTGGCTCCTCAAAGCCTTCATCCTTCTCTGGACCAGCCGGTACTTGCGTCGACACGAAGTAGAATAGACCCGGGTATCGATCGTCGCTCGGGTCCTTGTCGTTGTCTCCGCTCTTCATGTTTGCAGCTCCGCCACCGCGACCGCCACGGCCTCCACGGCCTCGTCCTCTCCCTCCTCCTGCTCCTCTACCCTCTTGGCCTTGAGCAGGGGTCCAACCATCAGGGAGTTTGTAGCAGTCGCGCCACATGTGTCCGCTCTTGTGGCAATAGTGACACTCGCCGTCGAATCGGCCGCGACCGCGTCCGTAGCTCTTGTCGTCGCTGCCGTAACCGCCACTCCTGCGGCCTCCGCCGAAGTTGCTGCCACCAAACCTTCCTCCCCCTCGTCCTCTGCCTCTTCCTCGACCATATCCACGGCCGATGCTCGCTGCCCCAGCGCCATCCGCACTCGCCAACTCACGGCGGCGGAAATCCTCTTGAAGGATAGCTCGCTTCACGTCTTC